GCGATGGTGTGGGGTCACAACGTTGTCGGAATAGGAAACTGAATATAGATTTGGGTAATAAAGTGGTATTTTAAAAGTTTGTGGGAGGGAAAGTGTCATTAAACCATTATTTGGGTAAGAAAAAGTTGTTTACTCTATAAAAATTTAATTATCTTTTATATTTTAATATCAAAATAACTCTTTTATTTTATGTGTAGTATAATGAATTTATAAAATGTTGAAATAATTGTTCTTATATTATATTTGATTATTTTCCTAATTTCCTGACTAATAATACCTGAAATTAGGAAAGGAATCAGATTTGAGGTTGTTGAATTAGTAATACAAAAATTGTTTTTGATAAATAGAGATGAACTATATTTTATAATACAACTAATTAATTTTATTAGACTAATATTACACGTACAAAGAAATCTCATTGTGTAAGATTTTCATACAAAGTAATATAACAGAAAACGAATGGAATAGTAAATACAAAAATGAATGGCAAAAAATGCTTTTGTATTCCCTCTTCTATTCATTTTTTGTTACATCGTTGTCATTCAATTTTATCACAGTGTGCTTTTACAGTAATAGGGGTATTTGGATTGAATAAGGAAAATGTTAACTTTCCCAGCCCAGTAAGCTTACTGGGTTAGCGTAGTTAATGGTTCATTGTACATCAAATGAAGACCATAACTGATAGAATTACCTAATATTAGAAAAAGAATCAATTGAGGTTGTTGAATTAGTAATAAAAAAATTGTTTTTGATAAATAGAGATGAATTATATTTTATAATACAACTTGTTAATTTTATTAGAGTAATACTACACGTACAAATAAATATTATAATATAAGATTTCTGTATAAAGTGATATGGTAGAAAACAAACACAGAGTGAATACAAAAATGAATGGCAGAAAATGTTTTTATATTAACTTTTCCATTCATTTTATGTTACATCATTTCCATTCAATTTTATCACGACATTCTCTTACAATAACATTCGGATTCGGATTGAATAAGGAAAGTGTTAACTTTCCCAGCCCAGTAAGCTTACTGGGTCAACATAGTTAATGGTTCATTGTACATCAATTGAAGACTAAAACTAATAGAATTACCTAATATTAGGAAAAAAATCAATTGAGGTTGTTGAATTAGTAATAAAAAAAAAAAAATTTGTTTTTTGATAAACAGAGATGAATTATATTATATAATACAGCTCATTAATTTTATTAGAGTAATACTACACGTACAAAAAAATCTTATCATATAAGATTTCAATTGATATGGTAAAAAACGAACGACAAAATAAATACAATAATGAATGATAAAAAACAAATGGACGAAAAAATATAAAAATAAATGACAGAAAATGTTTTTGTATTCACTTTTGTATTCATTTTATGCTACATCATTCCCATTCAATTTTATCACGGCATTCTTTTAGAGTAACATTGGTATCCAGATTGAATAAGGAAAGTGTTAACTTTCCCAGCCCAGTAAGCTTACTGGGTGTGGCATAGTTAATTGGTTCATTGTACTTTGTACATCAATTGAAGACTAGAATCATTTTTTCCGCTAAAAAGTAATAATAAAAAGAAAAAAAAGAAGAGTGAAAACGTGTGTAAAAACTACGTTTCATTATTTTACACTTTATATTATATCAGTTAATATTATTTTATTTCCTTATTATATGATCTGTCACGACTATGAGCTTCCAACTGGACTCAAATCACTAGACATTTTTCCAGTTGTCATTTGACAAAACAGCCATTCTGTCCCTAGTATATAATTTTTTATTAACGCTTTGGTCCCTTGTCAGACTGTCAGTAACACAAACTTTGGAACGAAAATGTTACTAACACTAACCTCAGGGACTAACTTGTCATAATTTCTTTAATTTCCTCATACCCAACAAATGTAAACACAGATTTTACACACGTTTCACTCTATTAATTTTTTTTTTCCTGTTTTGCCAAATTACTGATTCCATTTTCGAATCCCATGTTCAATGTACAAAAAAAAATTAAATTTCATTACAAATCTACACATTTTTACTTAAAAAAGAATGCAAATAATAATAAATAATAAAGAGTTGTAGTTTGAAAAAAAATGGGTATCCTCATAAATACAATGTCCTAAAAATAGAAAAGGAATCTGATATGTAAATAGGAATTAAATGAACAATTAGATTACAGATAAGATGTAAAATTTGAATACAGTATGTGACAAAATCCACCGATGCATATAATAATGATAATATAATAAGTCCAAAATTAGAAAACTATTTTGCATGTTTTAATACATTTGCAATAAACAAAAAGCCAACCTGACGGTTTCCTTTTATGATTCTTTTTTTAATTATTATATAAATTATTAATTGACAATTAAGAGGGAATCAAAATCAAACTTACTTTTTCAAATTACAACTAATGCTTTTTGTCATCTTGTTTTTAAAACAATGGGAAAACTCACACTTTAATTATTATACCTCTTCTCTTCAATAATATCTCACTGGACATTTATTTTATTGGTCTATATTAAGTAATTATTATTTATTAATTCTTTTTTTAACATAAAGTATATTAATTATGGTCTTCCATATATGGTATGTTTAGAATACTTTAATCATTATCATGCTAAAAGTTGGTAGATTACAACAGGGTTAGGGTTGTATTTTATTTATTTTTTATTAATTTTGTTACCTTAATTGTCAAGTGTTCTAAATATGGAAAATAATCTTAGATGCAGATTTCTTTCCTTTTTTCTGGATTTTCTAAATCTTTTATAATATTTCTTGGATTTTTTAAATCTGTTTTTTTTTTTTTTTTGTGGAAATATTTTTTGAATTAACAATTTAAGACTTTGACTAAAGAGTTTGACTTTGTTTTCCTTATCATATTTTATGTTCACCAAAATGACCTTCTTTTCTATATACGAGGCTTGAATTTAATATTTTATTTTTATTTTTTTAATTTTATGTATCATCAACACAATCCTTAATTTTCCGCGATTTATGACAAATATTAGATAAAATAATTTAACACGACCAAAAAATAAACTTAATGATAAATCAATGTAAATTGTAAAATTAGGTAAATATTGAATAATAATGCTTACCTCGTATTGAAATTACGGACAACAAATGTTGTTCGTCCGAGCAATAATGCACAAACTATTCCTGTCAGTCGACCGGTGTTGGGGAACCTTGAGCGAAAGAAGGTTAGGGTCAACTACTGTGGAGGCTAGGGTTGACACTCTGATCCCTATTTAGGATCGTCGAAGCAGGATACATACATTGACCTAATTGAACTTGATGATCGTTTTGTTAATAAGCATCGTCAAAGCATGATACATACATTGATCTAATCGACCTCGATGATATTTAAGGATTGTCTGACTGTCGGAGCATGATACATACTTTTAATTAACCGACCTCGATCATCTTTTTGTTAAAAAGGACCATCGGAGCAAAACATCATCAATTGACCTAACCGACTTCGATAATCTTTCTGTTAAATCACATTAATAAAAGAAACGAGATCAAGAAAGATAATTAAAATACAGATACTTAGACGAAACTTATGGAAACAGCTTAAAAGATTTTTTTAGTGAAACTAAACAAATGAAAGGTTTAGGATGAGAGAACCGAAAGGCAGTATATATATAGGGTCAGAGCCTCAGAGATGATGACACGTAATGTAGGTATTTAAATTGGCCAAAGGCTCGTAATTGGTTAATCATTAATTAATAGAAAGTAAGATAAAATTTAAAATGAAAAAGTACCAGTCGAAAGAGAAACATATTTAGAAACCTTAATTTTAATTCACTGGTAATACGATAAAAAAAAAAAAAAAAATCATATGCAAGACATTATAAATAAACCTAAAATTTAATTAATAACATATAAATGGTAATAAAATAGTTTATTAAATTTTAATTCGATATTATTATGTGGGATTTTCTTTTTATCCAAATAATTTCACTCTCACTCACATTTACCCTTTTTTTTCTTTATATTTCTACTTATTATGGTAAATTAATAATATATTTAAGAATTATAAAATCCTAAAAAATAAAATTACCAAATTTAAACAAATCTTCCATCTTTAATGAAATTGAAAATAATAAAAGAAAACGTAATGAATTTGAAGACTTCAAAAGAGAAGGAATCTGGTTTTGAGAAAACAATTTATTGACCTATAAAAAAATAATAAAAAGAAATATAAAAAAGTGGAACAAGCCAAACCTCAAAACGCACAACATGTACAAAGGAAGTTAGAGAAGCAACACGTGCAGAAACTGCCGTTAGCGGTTTCGGTTTCTATTTCGTGAATTATAGTTAAAATCCTCTACAACAAAACCCACAGTAAACTTCCTTACAACCTTAGCCATTGTGGGACCTACCTTTTTTCTGTTAAAAATTTTAAAAAATAATTATTTTTTATCTCACACTATAAAAACCCCATTTTACTCCCCATGTAAGCACACAAAATATAATACTCTCTGAGCGAATATAACCAGAAACAAAGAGAGAAAGAAAAGAGAGAGTGAGTGTGGGTGGAGAGAATCTGGAAAGAGAAACTCAACGCACACACACTTGAGAGTGAGTGAATACAGTAATTGGGTTTCCTTCTTTTTGTACAATTCGAGGGCTAAACCCCCCCCCAAAACGCAACCCATTACTTTCTTTTTACTCTGTGAGTTTTGTTTTTTGCTTGTTTTTCTTTTTCTTTTGCCCGTGTCTTTATACCTGTTGTTATGGTGTTTCTATTTTTTTTTTTTTTTTTTTTTCCCGGTTAGAGGTTCTGTATCATTGCTGGCATGGAAATAAACAGATTGCAGATTGGTTCTCGTAACGATCATTTGCAGATCTTTGTCCGTCTTTCTCGTTGTTTAGAGGGAATTTTCTTTCGTGAATTTGGATTTGGTTCACTTTTGCAATTTTGATTGAACTGTGCTTCTCATTCATTGTTAATGAATTTTTCTTTGTTTCTCTTCGTTCTTTTTGAAGCAATGGAAGATCTGGTATGGGTAATGGACAACAATAAGCGCCCGCTGGAAGATGGAGAGGACCCTGCAGCAAGTGAGCAAATCTCAAAGTTCTCTAAGCAAGAGGGGGAGTGGATGTAATAACAGTTTGGCATAATTGACAACAATAAGGCGGGTGAGCACGGGTAGTGGGAAGAATCAAAACCTGCAGGTAGAACCGAAACCGGAACCGGCATTATGCGGGTAGGTTTTGGTTCTATTTTATTAGAACCGACACTGTACGGTTCCTGTTCTGGTTCTTGTGTGTGGGGGAATCGGAACCAAAATCAAAACCTGGAAAAAGAACCTAAAACGGGTACCCTGTTTGGACCCTGTAGCGAGTACCTAGTTTAGAACCTGTTTGGAACTGATTTTTGGAACCCGTTTTAGAACCTGTTTGGAACCTGGACTACAATGAAATATTCGTGAAATGTGAATAATAGGGGGTTTCTATTATTTTACATATAAAAAAATTTAAAATAGAAAAAGTTAAAATTTTAGAATAACCTAATTAAATAAATATACAATTATACTTATTACATATAAATTACACCATATTAAAAACTTTAATATATTANGAGTGGACGTATAACAGTTTTGGCGTAATTGACAACAATAAGCGCCCACTGGAAGATGGAGATGACCCTGCAGCGAGAAAGACGGCGAAACCATTAGAGCTCCATGAGAAAGAAGAAACTGTGAAGGGTCTGCATGATCTTTCTCTTGCCCAAACTGAGCAACCAGATGACAAGAATCGTGGACGCTGTCATTCAGAGTCAAATCCACTCATTTACCAGCTTGGGCGTGACATATCAATCAACTGTCTCCTTCACTGCTCAAGGTCTGACTATGGCACAATAGCAGCATTGAATAAAGCATTCCGGTCTCTCATTCAAAGCGGAGAACTTTACAGGCTGAGGCGGGGTATGGGTATCGTTGAACATTGGGTTTACTTCTCGTGCAACCTGCTGGAATGGGAGGCATTTGATCCAATTCGCCACAGATGGATGCATTTGCCGCGAATGGCTTCAAATGAATGCTTCATGTGTTCAGATAAGGAGTCGTTGGCCGTTGGTACCGAACTGCTTGTTTTTGGAAAGGAAATAACTTCCCATGTTATTTATAGGTATAGTATCTTGACCAACACGTGGTCATCTGGCATGAGTATGAATGCACCAAGGTGCTTGTTTGGATCAGCCAGCCTAGGGGAAATTGCTATCTTAGCTGGCGGTTGTGATCCAAGTGGCAATATTCTGAGCTCAGCTGAGCTCTACAATTCAATAACGGGCACGTGGGTGACTATCCCAAGCATGAATAAGCCAAGGAAAATGTGCTCTGGGGTTTTTATGGATGGGAAGTTTTATGTTATTGGTGGGATTGGGACACAGACCCCAAATACACTTACCTGCGGGGAGGTGTATGATTTAAAGATGAGGACATGGACTGTGATAGAGAACATGGTCCCACCACAAAATGGAGGGGCTGGGGTAACGGCATCTGCTGCGTCTGGGGCACCACCTTTGATTGCTGTTGTGAAAAATGAGCTGTATACAGCTGATTATGCGCGGCAGCAGGTGAGGAAATATGACAAGAGGAGGAATGCGTGGATCACACTTGGGAGATTGCCTGAGCGGGCAGATTCAATGAATGGATGGGGTTTAGCTTTCAAAGCATGTGGAGACATGCTCATTGTTGTTGGTGGACCAAGGAATTTAGGTGGAGGCATGATTGAGCTCAATGCTTGGGTTCCAGGTGAAGGTCCTCCAGAGTGGAACTTGCTTGGAGCAAAGCCCTCTGGCAGTTTTGTGTACAATTGTGCAGTGATGGGATGCTGAAGTGCTAGCTTTGGTTATACAGCTGATTAGAATTTCCAACAGTCACAGTTCAAGTAGATGGGGTTCCGGACTGTGGGTAATATCCGTTTCCTTTTTGGGAAATTTCAGGTTTAATATAGAATCGTATACACAGCTTTAGAAGGGGGTCTGGAGGTTTCTTGCCTTTTAATTTTCTCTTGTTTATGTTGTTGAGTCTTTTCTTTTTTTCTTGGGGTGGGGGGGAAGTTATGAAAGCTTTTCAAAGGTTGGAAATATGTAGAACAGGCACAGGTCAATAAATGAAAGTCTGGGTAAATTTTAGTTGTTTTAAATACTTTTGGAAAGTTTAGCTTAGCATCCTATAAATACTGCAACAATTCTCATAATTCTCGGTTGTTTTTATTATAAGAAAATTAAAAGAAGCTGTCTGCATTCCCTCCTTAGAAGGGATAAAACTTCAAATTTTTCTTTTCCAACACGCAACGACTGTGTCAATCATATCTAAGATATCTGTTTCATTTTCTCTCTGTCATATTACATTCCCTGTAACTTAATCTGCTTTTAATCTAAATTGAAACAGTGGCATTCTTTCTCTGTTAGAATTGGTGGCTGTGTCTGATATTTGTCTACCTTATTTCTTCAACATTTTTGTTGAGTTAACAAGGGCATAGGTTCCCAAAATTGTAGCTTGCTAAAGTTAGTAATTTGTAGGAAAGTTCTAAGGCAAGGCTGGCACTTCCTATAGAGGAGTTTAGTGGCATATGCCTTAAAGTATAAGCTCAGCCTCGTCTTTTTACCCCCTAACTTCAGGACTAAAATATAGTTGAAAATAATAAAGGAGGAAGGAAGTTTCTATCAACTGAAATGAAATAGGCTGACATCCTTGATTCGTATTAGGATCATAAAAAAGTGGAAGTACCAAAATTGGATGAGTATGGTTCACTAAGTACATATATTGGAAAGATGAGTGTATTGAGTTCACCTCTGACTGTTCCTTGGCTCTTGTTATGTGCAACTATGGGCAGTGCCAGTCCATAATCTTCATAAGATTGAGGCAGTTTCAAACTGCCTTGCCTCAAGGCTAATCTCAGAAATGCTTATATAAGTTTGCTTATTTTAAGTCTTGGCTAGAGTGGGAATACTATATTAAGAACTTAAAGCTTATATTTTTGTCTCTTAAAGCTTACGTTTTTGTCTTTCTTCAAACACAGTGTGCTAGTATAGAGCAAGAGGGTAGCTTTATGTTTGCTTAGCTTATTATTATATCATGCTTTCTTACTTAAAATTAGCATGTTCGTTTTCCCTGTTAAGTTGTTTTTAATGTGCAATAATCTGATTTGTTTTTCTACCAGCATTGGCGGGACTTCTTTGCTGTCATGTGTAGCAGGTTCAGATGAAAGATTGAGTCCTGCTTTAGTCTGTGACCAGAAACTCTTCATTAGCATGTAAATTGCCTGCAAATGCTATGAGCCTAAAGCAATAGGCAAATTATTCTGTAATGAGGTATGTTGTACACGTTTCATCAGGTTTTTCTCCAAGTTCTGCTTATTCTGAAGCTCAGTCTCTTGATTTGTAAATTATTTGTTTTTAAATTGCATTATTGATTGACTTACTGAATGTTTATCCATATATAAATGCCTGCAAGTTATCTCTGAAGCGACCTTAATTCCTCCATCTTTTTATTGGTTCTTGAATACATTTGAAGTTAGATCAGGAACATCATATTCGCTCATCATTGTCAAGTATACTTGTACTGTTTACGTGCAATATAAATAATAACAATGTGCCCATCTTTTACATCCTTTTTTTTGCCTACATTTTTAACAAGTATACTTGTATTGTATCTGACCGTGATGTTTGTGGTTGTATTTATGATTCTTTGGTGTATTTCTTCTTTAGGCAGTAATGATTATCTGATAGCAAGTTTTTTCTCAGCTCATGATATTTTATTATGTCTGTTTTGGTAAAATCATGAAATAATTTCCTCAAAGAACTTGCTAAGATAGTATGATTTATTGCTGTTTTTCAGATTTCATGACAAAAATTAAAGCCAAGAATTAGAGACCAACTGCAAATAGACATGGGAGTTGCTGTTTTTTTCCTGCAGATTCGAGCATGTAACAGCAGCTGTTTTTGGTGGCAAAAATTTGAAGTAATGCAAGAGTTTAAAAACGAATGACAAATCTCCTTTGAAGCAGAGTAGTTAAAATTTTGCAGAGGCGATTTTTGTTGTTATGTTGAGTGTACATACGTCATCAGCTCCAGTGGCACATATACGTTTCATTTGATTTGTGTATGACATAAGGTACACTACCCACAAGAACAAGAAAAACAGTAGAAAAAGCTTGGCATATCTGGGTGTGGTGGGGATGGAATTTTGCGCACATGTGCAGAGAAAAAGCCAAGGAGGAAGTTGCCTTATCTTGTTTTCTCTTTTGACATTTACTATTCCAATGTAAACATTTAATCTCATTTCCTAGTTGATCACAATGTAATTATCAACATCCATCTCATAGTTTGTGTAAATATTTCTGTACAGTACATTGGTTTTTATACACAAGGAAACAAGCAACCCTTTTGGTTGTAGTTGTACCTTCTAGTTTTCTGGGTGTAATCTGAAAAAGTACAAATAAATAAACAACCTTAATTGATTCGGGAAGACAGGGGATCTCTAGTTCTGTTGTTCTTCTAGGATTTCACGTACTACATTTTTCAATTAAACGGATAATTTTGTTTATTGAAATTGTTTTGTGGTATTAGAAGTTAGAACACGTTTTTTATAAGAATAAAAATATTTTGCAGGTGAGTTGTGTTGTGCTGTAAAGGGCTAGACTTTTGGTATTAAAAATGTTGGAAATAGTGCGGTTAGTTTCATCGTCAATTAACATGTTTAAGTCAGCACCCATCGATTTTGACACTGTTTATTACGGGAAAAAAGATATCTGATGGTCCAATAGTGGTAATCTCTTTTTCTTTTTGTAGAAATAAAAGATCAGGAAACATTCGATTTGACCTGCCCTGTGACTGTCTTTCGGTAATATGAGCCTATCTTTAGGTCCAAATCCAGCCCAATAACCACCAGATTAATTCATCTGGTTTCGGGTCGACCCAAGTATACCAAACCGAATTTCGGCTCGTGTTGCACCGGGTCTCGACTCGCTATTCCTTCCATGGAAGCTAAACAGAACACCATCAGATCTCTCATCTCTGTTTTTCTTTCTTATACGACACATCGTTTATCGAAACCCTAAAATACCCTCGCTCTTGGCTCTAATTTCTCCAATGACCGGAAATTAACCATGGACTCTCACTCAACCCTAACTCTAACTCTGCCTCCAACTTCAACTCTCTCTTCCTCTGCCCTCTCCTTTCTCAACGATAGCCTTACTACCAATCAATCCCTCACACGTGCCACAGGCATCGCAACCGAGCTCGAAATTCATTGTCGCGATTTGGATCAAAGCTTAATCGAGCTCAATCGCAGCCTCGAATCCAAGCTTATCGCTTACTCTTCCTTCTCCGATCGAGCCAATGGTCTCTCCGTTCAAGTCTATGTTAAGTTGACCGAACTTGCTTCGGTCGTTCGCTCTCGAAGCTCCGTTTCAGGTTTGTTTACTTCCGCTATGTATTTATATGTGAAATTGAGTTACTTATGTATGTGTGCTTAAGTTTAAACGTATTGCGTGTTTAATGATTGTTAGAGAGTCTGGAATTGGAGGAATTAGGGTTTAAATCGTGCGTTTGTTATTGACTTCTTGTATGATTTCGAAACATTGTGTGTAGATGGAAGGGGAAGAACAGAGCAGATATTGGGGGAGGAGCTGCCAGTGCTGGCCAAGGAGGTGGCGCGGGTGGAGGCCGTTCGAGCCTATGCTGGTCAGTGATTTTTGTTTCTTGCTTTTGAAAATTATTGTGAAAGGCTTTGGGCACAATTAGCAAGAACTAGATGTCTCATGAAATCAGAAATAGTCAATTTTTGTTTGAGTTTTGAAATGCATAAAGACCATATGGAGTATTAGGATTTGAAATTGTCATTGAAATTTTTGAACTTTTGATAGTGTAGTCTCTTGTTTGTGAGATTCTATTAAGGATTATTATTGAATATTCGTCGTTACCGCAGATATTAAGCTCAATTATGATTTGGTGTTATTGTTCTCCATATGTTTTATTCTGTCTTCGTTTTCTAATATGTTCATGGATTTGTTTGCTAGGGCTAAATAGGATGAACCGCAAATGTAATGAGTATAGAATTGCTTGGGAATCAGACATTTATAGATGTCTACACATGTAACATAGACTTTATTTCTTATTGGCAGTTGACAGTATCATCTTAATTTCTTTATCTGAAGAATTTGTTTAGGGGTGAACTTGGGTTTTTAAATAGTGGAGCAAGTGCTCCCAAAATCCTCTATTCATGTTGCAGATGCTGCTATTTGTATAAATATTTCATACACATCTTTCCAAGAAATCACAAGTGCAAAATACCTGCTATCTCATCTATTTGTCATTGAAATCTTTTTTTTTTTTGTGAAAATTTTCTTCTGTTTCCCAGAGACTGCTTTAAAGCTGGACACTTTGGTTGGTGATATTGAAGATGCTGTATCTTCTACAATGAACAGAAACACAAGGAAGTACCCATCTACACAGAATTCAGAAGTGAGAATCTGTTATCTGAAGCTAATTGCTATTGCACATACAATTTGCTTACGTCATTCTTAATTTTCTTCTGAATTTCTTTATTATTGCAGGATATGCGGTTGCTTGCTATTGGAACACTTAAGCAGACAGAAGATATTTTAGGTTCAGTTACAAGAGCACGCCCTCAGTGGGCACGTCTTGTCGCGGCAGTTGATCACAGAGTGGATCGAGCCCTAGCAATATTGAGGCCCCAAGCAATTGCTGATCATCGAGCCCTTCTTGCTTCCATGGGATGGCCACCACCACTTTCCACTTTGACTTCCTCTAATGTGGATACAAGGACATCACCTGAAGTCCTAAATCCTCTTTTCACTATGCAAGGGGATCTCAAACACCAGTACCATGAAAACTTTCTTGCTTTGTGCAGCCTTCAGGAGTTGCAGAGACGAAGAAAATCTAGGCAACTTGAAGGCCATAATCTGGAAGTTGCTCTTCACCAGACACTTTGGGCGATTGAAGAGCTGGTCAATCCTATATCAGTTGCAACTCAACGCCATTTCTCAAAGTGGATTGATAAGCCAGAGTTCATTTTTGCCCTTGCATATAAGATTACAAGGGACTATGTTGACTCTATGGATCAGTTATTGCAACCATTGGTGGATGAAGCTATGCTGGTTGGGTACAGTTGTAGAGAAGAATGGATTTCAGCCATGGTGACCACATTATTGACGTACTTAGCAAAAGAGATATTTCCTGTTTATGTTGATCAATTGGATGAAGAGGGTGTTGCTGGTATTAAATCGGAAGCTAGGATATTGTGGCTTAACCTTGTTGATTTGATGATCTCTTTTGATAAAAGAATTAAGTCTCTGGTAGCACAGTCTGGAGTCTTGCTTTCCCTTCAGGAAGATAGTAACCTGCAAAAGATTTCATCTCTATCTGTCTTCTGTGATCGGCCTGACTGGCTTGATTTATGGGCAGAAATAGAGCTTTCTGACACAATAGACAAGTTAAGACATGACATTGATGATGAAAGAAATTGGAAAATGAAAGTCCATGGGCCAGCTCTTTTGTTTGGTCCTGAAGATTACAAATCTCCTGCAGTTTCTGGTGCCTTTCTTCAGCGTCTATCATCAGTAGTTGATCGATGCCGATCATTGCCCACCATTTCTTCTAGGTCAAGGTTTCTCAGGTTAGCTGGTGCACCTCTAATACAAAAGTTTTTGGATTGCTTACTTTTGAGGTGCCAAGAAGCTGAAGGATTGACAGCCTTACAAGATGATGATGCCCTAATAAAAGTGGCAAACTCAGTTAATGCTGCTCGATATTTTGAATCTGTTTTAAAGGAATGGTGTGAGGATGTGTTTTTTGTTGAGATGGGTTCTGGTCAGGATGATCAACTAGGAACATCCCTTAGTGGTGATACTGGTACTGAGGGGATATTTGAAGGATCTAGAACTGGAATTTTTGACGATGAGATCAGGAACTTAGAGGAATTCAGAATGGAATGGGTTGAGAAAATGTCAGTTGTTGTTTTGAGAGGATTTGATGTTCACTGTCGAGATTATGTGAAAAACAGGAGACAGTGGCAAGAAAAGAGTGAAGAAGGTTGGATTGTGTCCAAAACTTTGGTTGGGGCTCTAGATTTTTTGCAAGTAAAAATGTCAATAATTGAAGAGAGTTTGAATGGGCTGGACTTTGTTGGACTTTGGAGAAGTTTGGCAGCTGGGGTGGATCGGCTACTATTTAATGGTGTTCTTATGAGCAATGCAAAATTTTATGATGGTGGTGTGGAGAAGTTGGGTAGTGATTTGCAGGTTTTGTTTGGGGTTTTTGGAGCTTGGTGTTTGAGACCTGAAGGCTTCTTCCCTAAAGCAAGTGAGGGCTTGAAGTTGTTGAAGATGGGGGAGGAACAACTTCAGAGTAGAGCGGTGAGAGGGGAGAAATGGATGAAGGATAATGGAATTAGGCATTTGAGTGTTGCTGAGGTAGAAAAGATTGTGAGAAATAGAGTATTCCTGAGTTAAAAGCTTTTGAAATTATTCACTTTTTTCCTTCTTTTTTTCTTAATTCTTGTCCGAAGAGCTCAGTAGACTTGTACATAAAAGAAGATTAGGCCGAGTTTATTGATGCAATTGTAGAATTTTTATGGTACGCTGGAGACAATTTGTTTCTTCAAAAGAAAATGAATAAAAAAAAAAAATTATTTCATTTATATTGAAAATTATTCTATTTTACCTTTAATTGATTATAGAATGGTTTTTTTTTTTTTTTTTTTTTACACCCACATATATTTGTAATACCCAGTCTTACAAATATTATTACAATTAATTACTAAACAACCTAGTTAATAATTGGAGAGGAATTCATAGATTCAGTTTAACAGATTAATTAATATCTGGATATCGACGTCTGGAATAATAGATCATTTTTTCTTGTCTCGAGTATACAATTAAAAGTAAACAAGAGATCGAGAGAATTTTTCAAAACTGAAAATATTATTAACTTTCTCTCTTTACAAATACACAAAGCTTTTCTTTATATAGAGAAGTTCGGATTTCAAAAATTTTGAATCCCTAGATAAGATAAAATTTACAAATCATAATGTCAATCACAAAAACATGTGATTTGACTTTAGCCAAATAAAAACTAACATGTAAAGTAAAGAAAATAAAGAAAATGACATGGGGTCCACATGTTTCCCATGTTTAAAACAAAATTAACTTATTACATATGACACATGTTTCTTATGACATATGACACAATATTCAAGATTGCCTTTAAATATGTTGCATTAAATTTTGTCGGCAAAATCTTGACGGTCCACGTATTATTTTTGCTTTTTGGACACAAGTTAGCGTATTACGTGTTGGACGTTTCCGGTTGTCCAAATCTCCATCCTCCAAATTTTTATTAATCCTTGAAGTTATCCACTTCGATAAGATCAATAAAATCTTTTAGAGTCGCATCTTCTTGGGCTTCCTGGTCGTGGGCTAAGACCAACCTTAGAAGATCAATAGTTTCTTCCATTAAGGCCTGCTTCGATAGATAGGCTAAATCGAACCCTTCTAGTAACGTTCTCAACTGGGCCTGATTATGTTGAAAAAGAGTATCCTGGATCAATGCATACTTGTCTGGTATAACTACCACAATGCCATTCTGAATATGGACAGTAGCATTTGCCCTAACGAGCTCTTCCAGTTTGGATTTAACCAGTAGCAATTTTGCAATATGCAACCTGATCCAATGTTCCTCTTCTTTCTTTTGAATTTCTTCTAGTGCATAAGAACCCATCTTTACCTCACTATCGAGCATAATTCGGTACCATGGTTCTCCTACAAGAAATTCCCATATCTGTACAGGCTGAATATCATAGTTCTCTTGCAATGAGGAAGTAATCATGCAAGTGAAGGTGTCAACTTTCCGATTCAATACACAGAGTGTTTGCTTAACCGCATATGGCATATTCGGATCCACCATCGCTTCCTGTACGTCAATTTGCATTGTATCGATCCATCCTTTAGTCAAAAGATCTCTACAGAAACCTTTTCTAAAGATTTTCCATGGAACGAAAAATTCCATAGCTCTATTAGGATAAACCGCTAATCCTTGAACCACATCTGTCAAGTCAGGTTTTTCCAATTTCACTATTAATTCATTCAAATTCTCGAGTTTGAGATTCGACATGTCAAACAAATGACATTTTCTCATTACCTCAAGTTTTTGAATTCCTTCTTCATAGAGAAAAGCAGTTCCCTTGAACTCCTCATCCTCATAAAACAGTTTGTCAGCTTCCAGCCATGCTAACCTTCTTGCTAACTTTTCTAAACACCTCTGTAGCTGTACTTCCCCTTGACCTGTTGCCATTGCGATCCTAATTTGGGTTTCCAGATCCTCCCAGAGTGTTTGACTAGCTGAAGTTAATTTTAAGCTTTCTGGAAAGCTAAACCTCTCACAAATATCTACGTCAATTAACCGCTTTTTTTGTGGAGTGTGTGTCACCACACTTGTAGCGCCGGACGATGAATCCTTATAATTTTTGATCTTTGACAGTGGACAATTAGCCCGTTCATGTCCTTCCTGTTTACAAGATCAGCAAACTATTGCTTTTTTCTGAGTCGTTTCCTTCTTAAGAGTAACCCTCTTTTCAGAAGTATTTTCCTTCATAGAAGTTTCACCCTTCAATCGTTGATATTTCGGGTTCCTTCTATCCGAAGTATCAGAATCATAGTCACGATTCTTTCCTTCAACCTGCTTTACCGCAGTAACCTGCTTAAAAGAAGAAGCCACCTGCTTATCCGCAGTTTTCTCCTTTTTAGCAGTAACCTTTGAAGTCGAAGTAATCCTCAAAGGGCAATTCCTTCTCAAATGTCCTCGTTGCTTACACTTGGAGCATGAGAAGTGATTTCCAGTTTCCTTCTTGTCCGCCATTATCCTGCAATTCTTCTGCAAAATGTCAGGACAAAAAGTCAGCAACAAAGTTAGATTTACCGGAAATATATTCAAATTTGATTCTATAATTTGCAAACCAAATCTGCCATCTGATTAGTCTAGCTTTGTTATCCTTTAAAGACAGTTTCATAAAAGTTTTTAAATATTTAGAGTCTGTCCTTAAAGTAAATTCCTGACTAATTACGAACAATCGAAATCGGTCAATACATTCTTTCGCTGCTAAAACTTCCTTCTCATGGACAGGATAGTTTATCTCTGTAGGAGAGAATTTTCCTGACGCATATCGAACAATCCGTTCAATATTATCAGTACCCTTAGCCTTAAGCACACCTCCCCAATACAAGTGAGATGCATCACTTTCTATAATGAGTTTATCCTCATCTTCCGGGAGTTTTAACGGTTTTAATTGCTTTGTCAAGGCCTTGGTTCGCTTAACACAATTAGTGTCTTCAAGTGTCCAAACCCAGGGCACTTTATCACTAACCTTAAGCGTCAAGCCATTAATTACATTAGCGAGATTAGGAACATACTCGCGCATGTAATTGGCTAATCCAAGAAATTGCTGTAACATATGCTTATCTTCCATAACATCTGGAAAATCCAGCAACTTCTTCGAGATATGTTCTTGGAGTTGAATACCTTCTTCACCTATCTCTACGCCTAAGAACTTCACCTTGTTCTTAAACCATTCTACCTTTCTTTCAGATAGAATCATTCCATTATCAAGGAACCTTTTGCTCACCAGTCTAAGATGATTTACATGTTCTTCCTTGGTCTTACTAAAAACCAGAACATCATCAATATAGACTACACAAAAGTTAGATAAATCTCCAAAGACTTTATCCATTTTCCTCTGGACTATTGATGGTGCTTGCTTAAGTCCAAAACGCAAAACCATCCATTTAAACAATCCTTTCGGACAGGTGAAAGCCGTCAAAGGAATGCTTGACTCCGCCATCCTGATCTGCCAGAATCCTGACTTCAGATCAAATTTGGAGAAGATTTTTTCAAATATAGCTTTATTCAAACAAGCTGATTTGTTTGGTATCTTATAAGCATCGTCAATGGTTTTCTCATTTAACTGCCTATAATCGATAACCATCCGCGCTTTACCTCTTAACTGCTCAGCTCTATTCATGACCATGAATGCTGGTGAAGAGTGTGGACTTTTACTGGCGCGTATCAATTGCTTTTTCAGCAATTCTGGTATTTGCTTATTGAATTCCTCCTCTGCATCAGGAGTATAAGGATAGGATTTGGTCACTATTTTATCATCCTTCCTTTTCAATTCAAGTGAAGCATATATACCGTTCCTTTCCCATAACTTTAATGGTTGATCATCAAAGCATGGAGAAAGTTCCTCTTTTAAGGATTTTACAAGTTCCTTAACCCTTAAAGAGTTCTTTTGGGTCTCGTTTTCAACCTTCAAGATTTTTTCCTTATATATGAATTTATCCATGCTTTCAAGGCATGCACCAGAGGAATCATCCTCCTGCGATATACCTCGTGCGATCCGGTTTGTATGATGACTAGGATATAACCTTTGAAAGAAAACATTACAAGCCTCATCCGCTTCTTCTGCTTCAGAAGTTTTCAACCACCAATTTTCCTTTTCTAAAATTTGGAAAACAATGTGATATGCTTCTTGCCTTAGTTTCACTGGTCTAAAACCATTTCGAACTTTCGAAACTTCAGGCTTAGTAAGAATAGGGATTTTATGTCCTCCAAGGATAATGTGGTCGTTATCCTGAGTAAATGGTCTAACTTCTGCTTGACCTCGCAGAAAGCTATTTCCGAGAATAAAATCTACCTCTAAGTAATCCACTACTAGGACTTCCCTTAGAGTGAATTTTTTCTCGTTTAACAGTACAACCATGTTTTCTACCACATCCGTGATCATACTTTGATCTCCATCTGCAACCGTATTTAGGATAGGTTTTTCCAATGGTTTCCAAAGCTCCTGTGGAAAACATTGCTTCCTTGCAATACATTTGGTTGCTCCTGTGTCTACAAGAACCAGAGTATATTCCTCATATTCTGGAAAACACAGTTTAGCACGTATGCATGTATCAATAGTCCCTTGAACTATTGCATGACAATGCATTTCATGACTCATCATCATTTTCGTGCTTGGAGTCTCTTCTTCATATACTGGGATTTGCACAGATTTATACCCAAAAATTTTCCTACCATTGCTACTTCCAGCATCACTAGCAGTGTCATCTGTTTCCAGTATATTTTTCCTTGATAAGATCGGTTGAATTTCCTTATTTCGCTCTAGAGACACCAAATTTCTAGGCGTAGGAAGAGTAACCTCAACCTCATTATCAAGTTCCTGGATTTGAATTCCCCGATTTGGGTTTAATTCCACCACACTGGGCTGCGTTGAATATTCCAAAACCCATCGTTTCGGCCACGTAAGAGCCTTAGCATTGACTGCCATAGATCGAATCGGAATTACAGAATCCTATCCCGGGCCATGAACCTCAGTATCTGCACTGGAGTTCATATGTATATGATTAACAGAATTTATCAAGCGATAAATCAACCTATACTGAATTGCTATTCCATCACTAGAAGCCATCAGGTCTTCTAGTCCGGAAGTATGAATTCGAAGAACCATAATCCGTTTGAGATTTGGATCCTGGAGACTAACCATATATCCTGGTTTAATAGTCCCGTAGGCATCTCCCAAAGCTAGGTTAG